AACACCGGGAACAGCGGGAATGGGAACAGCGGGACACCGGGGGTGGGAACACCGGGAATAGCGGGAACACCGGGAACAGCGGGAATGGGAACAGCGGGACACCGGGAACAGCGGGACAACGGGAATGGGAACACCAGGAACAGCGGGAACAGCGGGAATGGGAACAGCAGGAACAGCAGGACAATGGGACAACGGGAATGGGAACAGCAGGACACCGGGAATGGGAACACCAGGAACACCAGGAACAGCGGGAACAGCGGGACAACGGGAATGGAGAACCCAACACACCCCCTGACCCGGGGTTCCAGGTGTCCCAGCTCCGGTGGGGACACGGAGACAGCCCCGGGGGCACCACGGAGCATCCCGGAGCACCCCAGACCCCCTCGGTGTCCCCCAGACCCCCCCAGACCCCCTCGGTGTCCCCCAGACCCCCCCAGACCCCCTCAGACCCCCCCAATCCCCCCAGCCCAGCGTTCCAGGCGCCCCCAGCCCATCCCAGGGAACGCGGCACTCACTTCTCCCTGCGGAGCTGCAGCAGGAGGCAGGACAGGGCCTCGGGATGCTCTGGAACGGGGAGGGAGCAGAGGCTGAGCCGGGGCGGGAATGTTCCCCTGGAATTCCCTGGGAATGTTTTCCCCCCGGGATTCCCCCGGGAATGCCTCACCCTTGTACTTGAGGTGCTGCAGGATGGGGATGATGGTCTCCAGGGGGATGTTGTGAGCCAGGAACAGCTGCCAGGTGCAGTACTGCTCAAAGGTCTCCCAGTCCAGGCTCTGAACTGGGATCGGGAATGGGATAACGGCGGGAGAACAGCGGGAGAACAGCAGGAGAACAGCGGGAGAACAGCGGGACAACAGGGATGGATAACAGGGATGGATAACGGATGGATAACAGGGATGGATAACAGGAACAATGGGATAACAGGGATGGATAACAGGGATGGATAACAGGGATGGATAACGGGACAATGGGATAACAGGGATGGATAACGGGACAATGGGATAACCGGGATGGATAATGGGACAATGGGATAACAGGGATGGATAATGGGACAATGGGATAACAGGGATGGATAACGGGACAATGGGATAACCGGGATCTGTCTCAGCCCCTTCCCGAGCTCTGGGCACCCCCAAACCCTCCCGGGGTCCCCCCACCCCTCGGGAACGGGGACGGAGCTCACGAGGCTCCCCGGTTAACCCGGCTTATCCCGCTGCTCCCAAAGCTGGATCAGGGAGAGCGGGATTTGCTCCGGGAACACCGAGGGACCCCAGCGGAGGCTGCGGAGCCGGGGCAGATTTGGGGATTTTCCCCTTGCCCGGCTCATTCCCTGCCTGGCACCGCCCGCTGCAGCCCCGGGATAAATCCCACGGTGATCCTTTAATGCCAGCAGGAAACCGAGCCCTGGGGACACCTCGGGAGCCTCGGGGCAGCTCCAGGGATCCCCTCTGGACACGGCTGGAAAGGGCCTGGACCGGCCCCGTTCCCGATCCCGGCACTCACTGAGGATGTTGAGCACGGAATCCTTGCGGAACATGACCAGGTTTCCCATCATCACGTGGCACACGAGCTCCTGGAGCTGGGGGGACAGGGACGGGCTCGGGGGGGATCCAGGGAACCTTCCCAGGCGGGATCCGGCTGGAAAAGCTCCCCGGAGCATCCCTGGGATGGGATGGGAGCCGGGGGTGCCTCCCACACGCACAGAGCCCACTCAGGCTCTCATCCTCCCTCTCCCTGCTCCTCTGGATCCGCTGGATCCCTGCTCCTCATCCCCTGGATCCTCTGGATTCCTCTGGATCCTCTGGATCCCTGCTCCTCATCCTCTGGATCCCCCAGATCCCCCGGGTCTGTGGAGCTCCGCAGGGAAACGCCTGGAGAAGGCCAGGAAGGATCCGGGGAGGATCCAGAG